AGAATCATAGAACCACAGAGCTGGAAAAGACCTCAGAAAGTCATCAAGTCCAGCCCCCTGCTCTAGGCAGGACCAATCCCAACTAAATCAACCCAGCCAGGGCTTTGTCAAGCCGAGACTTAAACACCACTAAATTGTTATGTAATGTCAAGAGTGTCCAGTATTTTTGTTGAAACCATCTGGTAACCCCACACACAGAATGGTGCTCGCACACGTACAAACTGATCTCTGCTTGTGCACACAGCAGTTCATACATGAATATTAATCCCTGCACGCATACACCTCTAACTAAGGGTGAGATGGAGTTCTTTGTACAGGTGAAGCGTCTGGAAGCAGAAGGGGAAACAAGGTGGTTAGAAGGTGGATTGGAGAAAGCAAGGAAGCTGGGCACTCCAACTACACTGAATAACCACTCTGTTCCAAATAATGCTCCCCCACCCAAGAAGTTCCCGGTGTACAAAGTAGGAGATAATGCAGAGACCTTCTGAATATGTTTTGAAAGGGCCTGTCTTGGGTACAATATCCCAGAAGACCAGTACATGATGGAGCCGAGACCACAACTCAGTGGACCCTTAGCAGAAGTGTCAGCTGAAACGCCAGGGGAAAACATGAGTGACTATGAACTTTTTAAACAAGAAGCCAGAATTAGAATGGGGTTGTTTCAGAGTCCTAAGGTGGAGACCATAATTGGCATTGCCTCAGAATCCCTGCCAGATAAACAAAAACTGGGATGCATGGATATCTGGAGCAAGTGCCAAGACTTTGGAAGAGCTATCTTTCCTAATGAAAAAGGAACAGTTTTTAGAGGGCCTTCCTAAAGAGGCCCTCTAACTAACCCCATTCTTGAGCCTTCTGCAAGGGCCCAGTCTGTATCCCCAGACGCCTGGGCTAGAGACCCAGGTGGAGCTGGTGGAACCAGACCCTAGACCAGCAACAACAACAGCATCACAGGATCCAGTTCCTGGAAACCCGATGGAACCATCCCAAGAGCTGGGACTGGTGGAGCTGCCTGTGTTGGGATCGGAACCAGCAGCAGAGGGCACCAGAAAGGGCCTTCAGCAGTAACTCAGTCTGCACAGGAGGCCCCACCAGCCAGCAACGTGGAGCTGGTGGAACCAGACCCTAGACCAGCAACAACAACAGCATCACAGGATCCAGTTCCTGGAAACCCGATGGAACCATCCCAAGAGCTGGGACTGGTGGAGCTGCCTGTGTTGGGATCGGAACCAGCAGCAGAGGGCACCAGAAAGGGCCTTCAGCAGTAACTCAGTCTGCACAGGAGGCCCCACCAGCCAGCAACACAACATCGCTTGCAGAGGGAGCAAGCCCAAGTCCACAACCCTGCGGAGAGCTGATGTCTCCAGTATCAAGGGAACCATTTCAGGCAGAGCAGGAAGTAGGTGAGAGCCTCAAGGGAGTTTGGATGGCAGCCCGGAGCAAGCCACTGCCTCTCAAGCTCTTTTAACAGGTCCGGGTTTGTGAGAGAGAGAGACTTTTATACAAAGAGACTCTTCTGACAGGCACAAGGAGGACAGGCATCCTCAGAGACAGTTGGTAGTTCAACTAAGTACAGGAGAAAGCTCTTGAGCTTAGCCCACAATCAACCTAATGGCCATGCTGGGGTAAACTGAGCCTAGGACCGATTGGGAAAGTCCACTGGGAGAAAATGGGCAAGGGTGTGTCTAGTTTTGTCCGGTCTTGGGAGGTGTGCCATCAGGCAGGAAAAGCCTTGACACCCCCATTACTGTGTTAGCCCCAACGATCCACAAAGCTCCACAGGACCACGATTTCCCAGCTCTGGGCCTGAGAGCACCAGCGATCCCTGTCTCTCCAAGGCATCCCAGATTGGCCAAACTTCTGAGGGAGGATTGTTCCATCTCTGTTGAACGAGGCATCTCTGGCAGCGAGCAAGAAGGCGAGAGTCAGTGACTTTGTCAACACACTGGGGAAGAAGTCCCAAGGGGTCTTCTGTGACTGCACCCCATCCACTCCCCCTTAATGCAGCCGTCCTGCGGCCTGTGCAAATGATATGGTGGACACCTGCCTGCATTGTACCCACAAACAAGCGCGTGGGCTGGCAATATGTTGTTCCCTCTGAGGACTTCAAATTTGACAAAGCTAATAAAAAGATGGAGGCATTTGTGCGTAAAGTGTTCTCTCCCTTCACCTTGCAAGTCAGGGTGACCAATTACATAGCACTGTTAGCAAAACACGATCACAGAAACTACTCAAAAATACAAACTTTTGTTGATGACATGCCTCGAGGCAAGATGCCAGAATTTCAGGCACTGGTCTGTGAAGGTCAATTAATATCCCCCAGAGCACTGTAAGCTGCACGAGATGTCATGGATACAGCCGCCAAGTCCATGGTCACAGTGGTTATCGTGTATCGTGCCTCTCATCTTCCTCCTTCCCAAGGGAAATCCACACCACAATAGGGGATCTTCCATTTGATGGGCATCTTGTGTGGTCCCTGCATGAGTGAGAGAGCTGACCCTGGGAGAGAGAACACGCTCCATTCTGCACTGAGCAGTCCTCTAGCCAGCAGCCCTAGCAAGCAGGACCAAGACTGACCGCAGCGCGGCTCTAACCACTAGACCTCCCTGCACTGGAGCTGGAACCCAGGAGCCCTGACTCCCAGCCCCCACGCTGCTCTAATGTCAGAGAGTCTGAGTAGCCCTTCTGCAGCGACTGCCACTGACTGCAGATGCCTTTCCCTAGGGTGCCACCTCCAGGGAGGTCTGAGGCTTTTAAATCATTTTTTTGCTGTGCCTTGCTGCTTTGCAGACAGACTGTGGTGAGGCTAAATCCCAGAATCTGGACCCACTAGGATCTCCCCGAAAAAAGTGCCTACATTCATTCAGTGCCTCAGTTTCCCTGTGACTGTTTCCTCCGTGTCTCTATTTGTGTTTTTTTTAATGTGTGCTGCAGCCCCCATTCCAGGGGCCAGCCATCTGAGCCCCCGTGCGATGCACAAGCTGAGGGGCCCAATCCACTAGGGGTGCCCTGGGTTTGCCTACCAGATCAGGCCCCAAAGCTGAGCCCACGCAAAGCTGCTGAGGGGCAGGGAGAGGGAGTGTACAGTATGCAGATCTCCCCAAAAAAAGTGCCTACATTCATTCAGTGCCTCAGTTTCCCTGTGACTGTTTCCTCCGTGTCTCTATTTGTGTTTTTTTAATGTGTGCTGCAGCCCCCATTCCAGGGGCCAGCCACCTGAGCCCCCGTGCGATGCACAAGCTGAGGGGGCTAGACTCCCAAACTGCCCCGCGGGGCCCAATCCACTAGGTGTGCCCTGGGTTTGCCTATCAGATCAGGCCCCAAAGCTGAGCCCACGCAAAGCTGCTGAGGGGCAGGGAGAGGGAGTGTACAGTATGCACCTGGGGTGTGGGAGATCCTGGGCTCGAACTCCCCTTCCAACCACTGCGCTTTTGCGGGAGGGGAGTCCCCTCAATATCTCCTCTTGGAGCTGGCCAAAACCAACATGCGCTTAGGGCTGATCCTACTGCCTAGTTGTTAGAGCAGTCACATTGGCTGTGAGAAAACCAGTATGCGTCCCCCGCCCTGCCCCAATGATCTTTAACGGAAGGGAGGCTTTGGATGACCAGAAGAACAGCCAACACTGGGACAATATTTCAAAAGGGGTAAATGAGACAACCAAGGTAATTCTAGGCCTGTCCATCAGATACCAACCCCAGGCCAAAATGGTAGACCACGGGCCTTGATTAATAAAGATTTCAAGGAGAGTACTATAACTAAAGCCAGTCCAAATGGATGAATGGAAAGTAGCCCTGTCAAAGTAATTTACTGTCTTTTTGGATGAGATGACAAGTTTGCTCGATAAAGGTAATAGTGTTGCTGGAATAGAGGTAGACTTCTATAAGACATTTGACTGCTATGGCACAACTTTCTGCTTAAGAAACTAGAACAGTACAAAATGAACTCAGCATATTGGAAATGGATTAAAAACTGGCTCAAAATGTAATTGTAACCAAGGAAGTGATGGTGTATTTCCAGTGGAGACAATCCGAGATGAGTCTTTCAGTAATAATGTAATCAGACTTTCAGTATAAACGTAGTAACCACTCTTCCAGCATTAATGAAGAGAGCATCAGATCACCACTGATAATAGAGATGTAGCCTTGTTAGTCTGGTCTTGCTGAAACAAAAGACAGGACTATGTAGCACTTTAAAGACTAACAAGATGGTTTATTAGGTGATGAGCTTTTGTGGGCCAGACCCACTTCCTCAGATCAAATTGTGGAAGAAAATTGGCATGACCATATACACCAAAGGAAAACCAGCAAAAAAAGTGAACACATATAAAAAAGACAAATCCGATTTTAGAACAGAGGAGGGATGGGGGGAGGTTAGTGTCTATGAGATAATGATATTAGGGGTGAGAATTGGGGAAGCTATCTTTGTAATAGGTAAGATAATTAACATCTTTGTTAAGGCCCATTCGTAAAGTGTCAAATTTAAGCATGAATGACAGTTCTGAGGCTTCCCCTTGTTGTCTGGTGTTAAAGTCTCTTTGAAGCAGGATGCATGTAATAAAGTCATTGAGACAATGCCCAGTCTGGTTGAAATGGCAAGAAACTGTTTTTAATTTGTGAAACTGTCTGATGTCTGTTTTGTGTGCATTGATTCTTTGGCGAAGTTTGATAAAGATTGGGGGAGACAGGTCACTAATTCAGGGAAATCTGGATTATCTAGCTGGGCAGAAACACACACTGTGTGTTTTACTATGTCTAAACGTAAATGTATACACCCAGAGATGACAAAGTGTAGGACATACTCATAGGATGGAGGACTCCCTCCTGCAATCAGTGACTCAAAAGTATTTGTGATCCATCTCCTGAGATTTGTGTTCCAGGTTCTGAGAAACAGAGGCTAGAGATACCATTCCTGCCCATTCTGGCTAATAGCCATGGATGGACCTATCTTCCATGAATTTATCTAGCTCTGTTTTGAACCCTGTTAAAATCCTGACTTCACAACATCCTCTGGCAAGGAGTTCCACAAGTTGACTGTGCACTGTGTGAAGAAATACTTATTTTGGTTTGTTATAAACTTACTGCCTATAAATTTCATTTGGTGGCCTTTGCCTCCTACGTTATGCAAAGGAGTACTTAACACTTACTTATGTAGGTTCTTTGCTCCAGTCAGGATTTTATAGATTAGATTCCCCCCTAGCTGTCACTTTTCCCAGCTGAAAAGTCCCAGTCTTATTAATCTCTCCTAATACAGATGCTGTTCCAGACCACTAATGAATGAGTTACTGGGGGGTGGAGACTGGGAAGTCAGGATTCCTGGGTTCTATCACAGTTCTAGGTGGTGGAAAAAAGGGAAGCCAGTTTGGCGGGGCAAAAAGGGAAGTCAGGGCTCCTGGGATTCATCCAAGGTGGTGTCTTCCGTTCCAATTATTTTCTCTCCCCTAGGTGTTGGACTGATGAATGTCTCGGATGTCACACACTTCACCCTTCTGGGCCTGTCCCACTCCCGTCCTCTCCAGCTTCTCCTCTTCGGCCTCGTCGTGGCCTGCTATGCCGCCAGCCTGCTGGGCAATCTCCTCATTGTGCTGACAGTGCAGGTGAACCTCCACCTCCTCCAGTCCCCCATGTACTTCTTCCTGGCCAACCTCTCGCTCATCGACATGGCTCTGGGCTCTGTGGCAGCACCCAAGATGCTCAGTGACTTACTGAGCCAGGGCAGCACTATCTCCTACGGAGGCTGCATGGCCCAGATCTTCTTCCTCCACTTCCTGGACCCACCCAGCTGGACAATTTCTACTGTGTCGCTATGTGGCCATCTGCCACCCACTGAGCTACGCCGAGATCATGTGCCGCCAGCGCTGCCGGGGCCTCCTGGCAGCCTGTTGGTGTGGAGGCTTTCTCCACTCTGCCACTCAGTTGGTGTTGGTGATCCGGCTGCCATTTTGTGGGCCCACCCAGCTGGACAATTTCTACTGTGATGTTCCCCAAGTGGTCAGGCTAGCCTGCACTGACACCTACATGGTGGAGATACTCATGGTGTCCAATAGTCGCCTGATATCGCTGGTTTGCTTCCTGGTCTTGCTGGGGTCATACGGTGTCATCTTGATGACCCTCAGGGGTCGCTTTGGGGATGGGAGTGGTGGGAAGGCTTTGTCTACCTGTAGCTCTCACTTGACAGTGGTGAGTCTTCTCTTTGTGCCTTGTGTTTTTGTCTACTTCCGGCCTTTCTCCAGCTCACACATGGACAAGATGGCCTCCGTTTTCTACACCATCATCACGCCAGTCCTGAACCCTGTCATCTATACCTTGAGGAACAGGGAGGTCAAAGAAGCTATGAAGCGAGTGAGGCATAAGCTTTGGTTCCTTGGTTGGATGGAGTTGCTGACAGGAAGCTGAGAAAAACAGTGATTTGTATATGTATTTTGTGAGGATCAGTGTAAAAATTATGTGATGCAGAGATCCATATGAACAAAAACCATATTGCTTCACCAATATTCCCTCTAATTTTTTCCACCTATGTGCTGAATAAATTTTTTATGTGCACTGAGGCATGGACAGTGGTGCACCACCAATAGAAACTTGTGCTGCCAGTTGTGAGTGGCTGTGGATGCTCTGCTAATCAGCTGGGCAGCATCTGAATCTCTCCTATGTGGCCAGTCAAACGCTCACCTTCCAGCGAACACTGGCTCCTTCACAAATATATTTGGTTTCTTCTTGGGTCGGTATCCATGGGAATGGTGGCATGTTTTTAGTGAGGATTTCGGCCAAATTTGGCATATGACATGGGGAGCCACACACATTTTTTTCACCACTCGAGTTTCAATTTTTCATTCGGAATGAAGTGAGCCTCGTAGGTGGGTGGGTGGGAGAGGTAGGCTACGTCTACACTGGCATGATTTTGCGCAATTGCTCTTTAACGCAAGAGTTCTTGTATTAAAGTAGTTGCACAAGAGAGCGTCTACACTGGCATGTGCCTTTGCGCAAGAGATGTGCTTTTGCACAAGAGCATCCGTGCCAGTGTAGACGCTCTCTTGCGCAAGAAAGCTCTGATGGCCATTTTAACCATAGGATTTTCTTGCGCAAGAAGTTCATGTTGCCTGTCCACACTGGCCTCTTGCGCAAGAACAGTTGCACAGGAGGGCTTATTCCTGAGTGGGAGCATCATAGTTTTTGCGCAAGAAGCACGGATGTCCTACATTAGAACGTCAGTGTTCTTGCGCAAGAACTTACGGCCAGTGTAGACAGGCAGCCACTTTTGGCGCAAAAGCGATCGCTTTTGTGCAAGATCACGCCAATGTAGACACACCCTAAATGTTTTAAACAAGTATACGTGAACATATTTTCGTGTGACATCTGGAGCATTGCAGAAATATGTAAGTGGCTTTTGGGACTTTTTTGCTGGTATTTGGTTGTGTGTTAAGATGGATGGTGGAAGTAAATGGTAGGAAGTAAGTGGTGAGATTGATTTTCATGAGGTTTGGTGCCAGGTGTAGCATATAATAGTGGGATCGGTGAAGAATTTTTTCTGTGGTCTCAAAACCCTAATTGGTTTTAGTTTGTTGTTAGAAAGGAGATGGGGGATAGAGAGAAATGGTGTGAAAGATGTGCACCCGGTTAGAATCACAGAGTCATACACAATCTCTTGATGCTTTGGGTTTATTTAATAAAATAGATTTGGGGAAATAGGTTTAAGCTGCTGGTAGTTGGATAAAAGCTTTCACGATGATCCAAGCACATCCAGTTTTGCCACATTATAGGCTCTATGCTACAGGTCTCACTGCTTTGCTGGTCCCTTCTAATTGGGGCCAAGTTGCAGTGCATTGTGGGAAAGTGGTGGGTCGCTTTTCCCTGGAGAAGTTTGGTCTATGCTACAGGTCTCACCGCTTTGCTGGTCCCTTCTAATTGGGACCAAGTTGCAGTGCATTATGGGAAAGTAGTGGGTCGCTTTTCCCTGGAGAAGTTTGCAAAATTTTTCACCTGGATTCAAGACTCCAGGACTGTTGTGAAGGAGGAGAACGATTTTTGGGAAGAACTAGGGAACGTGTTGTTCATATCCTTTGTCCTCCTCAGGCATGGGGTCTCCCACATCCCAGCTAGATGCCCTACCACTTAGAAAGGAGGTAGTTCCTTGTCTAGTGGTTTTATGAAAGTTGTCCAAGTCCTGAGGTGGGGATATTACAGAGTTCTTCACTGATTTATATCCAATTCACATATCCTTTTAGTGCCCTGAAAACTGCATTTTCAGTGAATTTATTATTCAACAATATTTGCTTGCCCAACGCTGTTCAAGACCACCAGTGTTCTGTTGTTGCTTTTTCCCCCCAAGATGGAATTAGATTGATGAGTGTGTTGCATGGAAGAAGTAAACAAAAAGTTAATGGAATTGGTGCAAGAATGTTCATGACTTGTTTTTCCCCTCCTTGCCTCCTTTTCTCCTCCAGTCTGCTGCCCTGTTTATCCCTCTACAGCTTTTGGGAGGGTGGGTTTTACCCAGTCTTTATTTGAAATATGCCAGTGTATAAAATAGGACCTACTGTAAATAAACAATGAGAAGTCCTGTGGCACCTTATAGACTAACAGATTTATTGGAGCATAAGCTTTCATGGG